CGAGTGCGCCGCGCGGAGCAAGCATCACATTCTGCTGCCCAAGCCGGTGAGTGCGGCCGCGGGTCGCTGGTATCTGGTCTGGGCACGCATCGCGGGTCCCTCTTCGGACTGTGGATCCTGCGGTCAGGCTTCGGTTACCACCGAGGACCAGGTGGTGTTCTCGTTCAAGTCCAGCAAGAAGGCCAACAACGGCACGGATGTCAACTCGGGCCAAATACCCGCCATCCTGTATCGCTTGGTCACCCAGGACTGCAAGCAAACACCAGCACCGCTGGACGCCGATCCTGTCCAGCGCATATCGCGCGCCTTTGCCAATAGCGTCAGCCGCGAGTGCTTCGAGAGCCTTGTCGTCCTGCTCAGCTGGTCGTGGGAGAGCTTCAAGACGCAGCTGCGCGAGCAAAGCGATCGCTCGCGTCCCCTCCAGCTGCAACAGTCGCTGCAGTATCTCGGCTACGTGAACAAATCCTGTCTTCGACTGTTGCGCAAGTACACCAACGAGATCTATCCACAGCGAGCCACTACCACAGCCAGTACAGGCGGTGGTCCTGGTGGCGGTGGTCGGCACAACAAGGGCGGTTCTTCCGGCCCTTCTGGCAGTGCTGGTAGCGGCGGTGGTGGCAGCATGTCTGCTGCCCTGTCCAAGCTGGAGTCAAAGTCAAGCAAAGGTGAGAGACAGTCTTAATTCAGTCCTCTTCGTTTTCAGAGCTCACGACGGGGCACACATCGCAAGAAATGGAAACTATTAGAGATTGATACAATGCGTGGGGCTCGACTCGCCATGTCCAGTGGTCCAAAATACTTTCAGTTATTGGAGTTAGCAACAGTTAAGCAACATAGCCGTAGACAGACAGGCGTATTACGCAGAAGGAACGCATACATTCGAATGAATGCGGAAACAACCCACACCGCCCTTTCACTCATTCAAATCGTGTCTCTTCGCTGAAATGTTGTGCGTACGAGTCCCGCTCAAACTCTATCGGCATGGCATGTGGCATTCAATTCATCGATAGTCCTACTGTTGTCCCATTGGTGGAAAAGATCAATCAATACCCATATTTATATATGTATATTCTTTCTTTCGTTATAGACAAACATGTGCCGCGTGTGGTGCCCAATCCCATAACAGTGTCAAAGTACTTTGGTGAACACCCATCCACATCGGGCGCAGGAGCAGGGGGATCACGAGGAGGCGGCGCTGACGGATCTGGGCCTGGCCAGGGCACACCCATCACACGGAAAGCGAATCTCGAGAATATACAGCTGGCCGAGTGTGTGGGCAATGTGCGAGCACTGCTTATTGGCATCTTCTGCGACGACATATTCAAGGACATAGCCACAGATGAGGGCTATGCCTTGACACTGGAGATCCTGGAGGAGTGCCATCTGAGCTTTGTTGCCTGCTTCGATGCCTTCTATCCAACCTCCTCGCTGAAATGGAGCTGCCTGTGTGACCTCCTCGCCCAGATGGACCGCGGCGCCCTCCACTCCCGCCTGCTTAGTGCCATTCTGGCAGGTCTGTGCTCGCCCACCGTCAAGCTGCGTGCCACCTTCTCGCTGCTGAGTGCCCCTGGCAACGATCGCCAGTCGATAATCAGTCCCAGCGACAACTCGGGTCTGCCGATGCTGTCCTCCACGGACGCGCACCAGTATCCCATACTGGTCGAGCAGATGATCTACCGGACGCAGCAGGAGAAGAGTGACTTTCTGATCAGCACGTGGACGTTCAAGGATGTGCTAGTCCGTCTGCTGGACATCATTGCCAGCCCCATACGGCAACGCATCGAATCGATTTACAGCCGCAGCCTCGAAGGCAGCTACCCGGGCAAGGAGTGGATCAACCAGGGCCTCATCGACAACTGTTGCCATCTGCTGGCCCGCGTCCTCGCGGAGATCGTTTACCAAACAGCCATGGGCGAGTATGACAAGCTCTTTCTGCCGCCCCGCACCCTCCATTCAACGGGGGCCAGATTCGCACGCTGCGACCTGAGCCGCACATGGAATACGGGCAACTTTGGCCCGGATGCCATCGCCTTTTCGGTGGATCGCTCGGGCATTGCCATAGCGGGGGCCATGGTCTATACGGGCTCGGGCAGCTACGACTACCAGCTGGAGCTCCTGTTCGACAACACGGTGGACCTGCAGCCACAGCACAAATGGGAGACGCTGGAGTCGGTGTCGGGCAGCTATGACCAGGAGGCGGTGCACAACGATCTGGCCGAGATCAAGTTCGAGCATCCCGTACAAATCAAGGAGCACGCACGCTACGCCCTGCGCCTCTGCTCCCAGGGGGCGCGCACCTGTTCCGGCGACTCGGGGCTGCCAACAGTGCGCGGGCCCTGCGGCACAAATTTCCACTTCTATGCGTGCGATCTGAGCTTCAATGGCACGACGCCGGCCAGGGGCCAGCTGCCGTGCATCCTGTACTACAGCACACCCGTCAAGCTGGAGGCAGGCGTCGTGGGTTCCGGATCAACGGCCATGGCTGCTGCCGATGCTGCCAGCATGCTGGCGGCCAGCAGTCAACTGATTGCCCACGAGGTGTCCACACGGGACACGGCCCTGCAGATCGCCTCGGACATCACCAAAAAGTGCACGGAGCTGTTGATCATGGCCCGCAATGCGATGGCTGCCTCTTGCTCGCCGTCGGACAACAGCAGCTCCAATCACACGCAGACAATCGACTCGGAGCACAACATAACGCCCATCGAGGAGCACATGGACATTAACTGGGCCAACAATTCGCGCACTGCTGCCCAGCCGCAGCCCCAGGGCCAGGCCCAGCAGCCTGCCAGCTCTGCGGCTGCCGCAGATCCGCAGAATTCCACGGCCCGGGATCTGGGCAGACGCATTGAATCCTTCTCCAAGGGCATCATGCAAACGCTGACATTCGACACGAGGCGCTCCACGAATCCGTTTGAAATGGAAATCGAAATGGGAGCCACCGAAATCGGTGAGGAAGATACCGATGACCTGGCCAATGGTCAGATACCAAGCCAGAGCCAGGTCCAAACCGTTCTACCCATCAATGGCAACGAGCGAGTGGACTTTGAGATGGCCGAACAGCCAGTGCCGACAGCCCCGCCCCAGGAGGAGATGCCACAGGTGTCGCAATTCTCGCCGCAGCACCAGTCGCTTCTAGTACACTCGGACTCTGAAGAGGCGGCGCCCATGGATGCTGGCGCACCCGGTTGCAGTGGCTTTGCTGTAGGAGGAGCAGTGTCCTCTGTGCTTGGAGCAGCGGGCGAGCTTGGAGCGAGAGGAGTGCAATTGGGTGCAGGCGCAGTGGGAGGCTCAGCAGGTGGTGGCTGCCCCGTGGCCGCTCTCCAGCTTTTGGAGGTGTTCAATCTGGCCGCCTCGAACATGTTTCACACTCTCCTGCCGCTGGTCTACGCGCACATGTCCAATTTGGCCTGCAGCGATCCCAAGAGTTCCGTACAGATACTCGGCTTGATCAAGGAGATACTGCCGCACATTGCAGCCCTCAATCAACTGCATGTATCCAAGGAGCAGCGCCAGCCAGAGGCAGCAGCTGCAGCTGCCAATTTTCCGCATCCGCCAGAGGCAGCCCCACCAGAACAGGGAGAACATTTTCCAGCAGGAGCCCCACCTCCAGCAGCAGCAGGAACAACAGCAGGAGCAGGAGCAGGAGCTACAGCTAGCTACAGTTCGAGTAACTCTGGGGGATCCAGCAGCACCACCAGCAACCACTATTGCATGGTGGAGAGCGAGCATCCGTATCGGAGTGCCAGCATTAGTTGCTACCGCGTCGAATTTCCGCCCTGCGTCCAGTGGATGACCATCGAGTTCGACGGACAGTCTGGGACAGCACAGCTGGAGGATTACCTGCTGCTATCCATACCGATGCGACCGGCAGAGCCGGCGGCTGGCGAGCCGGCCGCCCAGACGGATGACTATTACGATATGCTGGACAATAATCTGCCAAGTGCCATGGACCAGTCGCGAAGGACAGTGATACCGACGGCATCGGAAGCGGCTGCTGCTGCTCTAGCTGCCGGCAAAACTCGCTCGGCAAATGCCCAGCTGATGATGGCCAGCTGTTGCCGCACTCCAGGGACATCCAGTGGCAGTGGCAGTGCTGGTGCCACGTCCCCGCTGCGTGCCCAAGATGCCAATGACAGAGAATGGATTGTGATCAAGAAGTTCAACACGTAAGTGACACAGGAGGTTCGGGGCTGGCGCTATTTAATGTTTACTATTGGCTTACAGCGCCTCCAATTGGCTGATGAGTGTCCTGGTGGTGCCCGGCAATTGTGTGGAATTCTCGCTGGAGACATCCTCACTGTATGCCCAGGATCCGCACAACAATCGCTATGGTTTCAAGTGTCTGGTGGTGGGATATGACAATCCCACGGCAGTAAGTACTCGGTCTCTCTGTCCCTTTCTACTCCATGCTGATGCTCTCACTCTCTCTCTCTTCGTCTCAGATTAGTGGCAGCAATTCGTGTTTGATACGACTGGAGCAGGAGCTATCCTATTTGGGGGGCATGTGCTGTGCCAATCTCATGAAGAAGGAGCTCAATATGCCAGGTGAGGCGCACACATCCTCTGTGACGGTGCTTATCATAGGAACACAGTTCCCGAGTACAGGTTCCCGCTAGGAACTATTTTTGAATCGAGCTGCGGACCTATCCGCTTATCCACAAATCTGGAATGCCTTTACCCTGAGCGAAAAACCTTAAAATTAAATGAATTAAATGCATTATTGTATGTCTCTCCCGCAGAGGACAAGGATGTTGAGGACATGAGTGGCGTTGAGGAAACCATTATGGCACATCACTCATTGCTCTCCAAGGGATTCGCACTGTCCGATCCACACCTGAACGTGCATCAGGCCTTGGAGCCATATCTGCCCATTGGGTAAGTGCGCCCCGTAGGTTGCGATTGGGGGGAATTTCTATTGTAAGATATGTATGCCCCATAGAGACCTGACTCTGGTTTTTCAGTGCTGGAAAACTGTATAAATATGTATAAAACTCGGATCATCGTTAATCGCAGCACATGATGCTCGATTTATTCAATATGCTCGTACATATGTATGTATTTGTGTGGTTGGATGCTGCATCCCGTCCCATCCCTTCCCCCGATCTACAGTAGCTATTTACAGGGCGACTTACAATTGACAATGATTATGAATATAATAATTATTATTATATATATGTACGTAGTATTTATGTGTAGGTTTTTAAGGACTAAGTTTTAAGCTATGGTTTTGGTACAACAAAAGGTCACTTATTGGTGGATTGGTGGTTCAGTGTGTGATTCCAGGGTGGTGCGCTTTCTACCGCTTCTCTAGCTTCTATTCAGCTCTGTGTTTCTGTGTATCTGTGTGCATCCTGTCTGATGTGAGTGTATTTGTGTGTGTGTGTCTGTGTGTCTGTGTGTTTGTCTACAAATCAGTCTTGAGGAGGCCAGCATTCTCGATTTGGTATACAATCTGTGTCTCTTTGTAGGTTCGCGGCTCCGGCTGCACCACATCCAGTTTGCGTCGCTTGCGCCTTTGGGCCAGACGCCACCAAACCAGCAGCAGGAGGATGAGCAGCAGCAGCCCCAGCAGCACACTACCCGTCACAATGTAGGCCACATAGCTGGTCGCTTGGCACTGCTCGGGGATGAGCTGACGGAGTGCCACAAACTGCTGCTGCTGCTGCTGCTGGCGCTGCTGGCCCCCATTTGGGTTGTTGCGCGGGAACAGCAGCTGCTCACTGTGCAGGCGAAAGAAGTCGGAGCGTGGGAGTGGCGGCTCCACGCTTGTGTCCAGCTGATCACAGCTCCAGGCATTCTCGTAGCGCACCTCACGCAGACTCAACGCAAAGCGCTCGTCAAAGCGCAGTGGCTGGGGTGCTGCTGCTGCCACATCCTGCTGCTGGCCTGTTGTGGGGTCCGACCCAGGGCGGGCACTGCGCAGGGTGTTGTTGTTGAATCGCAACTCCAGTCGCTCACTGAGCTGATAGCTCCGATGAACGGTCAGGCTGCGGAAGGCTATTTCGCTGGTGGCCCCAAAGTCGTTGCCACGCAGCGTGACCGCATCCCGAATCTGCGCCTCCAGCCACTCGCCGTCCACAGCCACAAAATGATTCTCGCTGAGGCTAAGCTTGGACACAACTACGAGGAGGAGAAGGAGCATGTTGAATGCTAATCAAGGCAATTACTGGGCTTGGAACTATTGGCACTTACGCTTAAAGGAGAAGGCGTGCGAGTGCACCACCTGGAAGCGATTGTTGCGCATGCTCAGCTCATTGAGCACCTCCAGTTCGTAGAAGGAACGCGTGGGCAGGTCACCCAGGAACTGGCAATTGGCGATTGTTAGCTGCTCCACGGCAAACTTTTTGAAGGCCTAACAAAAGAGATTATTGATTGGAGGTGTGTAAGAGCAGGAGAACATTAAGTTCCCTCACCTGGCCCTCAATCCGCTGAATGGTGACACCATCCATCTTTAGCAATATGGCACTGTTTTTGGTGGTGGTAAAACCAAACGGACGCATCTGATCGATCCGTCCGCCCACGAATGAGATCTCCTCGATGTTCCCGTTGATGGCGTGCGATTCGATCACCCTGAGATTGACCGCCTCGAATTCCACAATCAAAGCCTTGTTACTGGCATAGCGCGACACACTCAAGGCGTACTCCTTCAGCACCAGCTGGCCCAGCTGGCGGAAAGAGATCTTGCGCAGACCCTCGGTATTGGTCAGAGCATAGGCCTCCACCACAAGATCTCGGCAGTTGCGCACCTCCACCTGAAAGACGGCACCATGCAGCTGAGGCAACACCATGGCCTGCGGATGCGGATGTGGATAAGAGTGGGGTGGAATGGAGTTGAGTCATCATTTGGGGGTTGGGTTGGTTTGGTTGAATGACTCACCTGCTCCTCGTTATTGCAGTCACAGGTGATGGTGGTGTCATGATCGCGACAAATGACTTTGGGCAATTCCGTATGCCCGGGCGCCACCAGCCACAGCAACACGAACAGCAGCATCGGGATTCCCCACCAGTTGGCGGTGGGATCCTTGAGATTTCTGATATTTCGCATGGTTTTTCCTTTTCGGATGTGCGTGTTCGTGTGTGTCTGGATGAGTGTGGGTGTCTATCTGGAGTTATTTTTCACTCATGTTACTTTAATCAGCTTTCTGCGTCGTCTGCGTCGTTTGCGTCGTCTGGTCTCTGGCTATTGCTTATTATTTTCTTTATTTCACCGCACACTCTTTACACATTATTCGCCCTCTCTTCTCTCTGTTTGTGTGTTTCGCCTCGTTTCGCACTCGTTTCCACACGGCGGAGTGGAGACACCCCTCTGCTCGGCTAAACGTTGAACATGGAAATGCTGATAGTGCTTGGAAATCGCTCGCTTCTACTCTTATCTTTTCGAAGGTGTTTCTTATCTACTACACACATACACACACACACACACACACACACACACACACAGATGCACAGATACATCAACTTATCTCTCTCTCTCTCTGTGTGTGTGTGTGTGTGTAGTTACATTTTGGGGCCGTTCTATTGGGTTTACCTATACTAGTCCATAGATCAGGGCCACCTCCTCCAAAGATCTTTATACAAAAATTGCAACAAAAAGCACACACACACACGCATTTTGTCTATGAGTAATTATTTTTTTTTTATGGACAATTACTAATTACTAGAAAGGTGTGTAAGGATTAGTAATTTAATAAGAGGAACATAATTAGTGGTGAGAATAATACATTTTCTTGTATCACATTCACCACGTACAGTGACTGCGAAAGATATGGACACATATGCAAAAAATCATGAAAACTATTGCCTGTTGGCACTTCTCGAGACTGCTTGAACCGCTTTATTCTCGTTGAGACAGGCATACCTGAAGACCTGTGGGCTGCCTAATTGGTATTTCCAAGTAATCAGCACTTATTTCTACAATTCTACAGTTTGATCGGTCTTTACTATCATGAACCAGTGGAATGTTTAACAACATTTTGAACGTGTTCCATACGCCATGACAGAAAATATATGTACACCTCCTACAACTGTTAGAGACTACATACATATGTACACTACTGGCCAAAATAATAGGTACACGCTTATGAGCTTTCTTTCACGTCCTATAAAACTTTTCTAATAAACATAATTAAAAAATTAAATTTACTTTTAGTTTTCTAACCTACAATAGACTATAAAAATGTTTGTCATAAGCGTTTTTCATTTCAAATATATATTTTATGATCGATTAAACCTTAAAATCATAAATAAGGGCTGGCCAAAATAATAAGTACAGCAATTCTCCAAAGCGAAAAACTAAAAGCGTATCAAAATTTTTACACTTTTTTCTTATAATTTATAATCTTTTAATAGTATCCTATATAGCCACACTTATTTTGGATGATTTCGGCCATTCTTCTTGGCATACTAGCAATAAGTTTGCGGCAAGTGTCCACTGGAATCTCACACCATGTACATGACTAAATGAGTCTCTTATGCAACGAAAGCTTTTTGATAATAGCAAGTAGGCAACTAGAAAAGTATTTAAGATCTTGTCACAAAAAGTGAACCCCCAGTACTATCGATCGGGTAATTTTATAAAGGCTCTTGTTTCCGCCACATTGTACGTAAGCGAAAAAACATTTTTCTTTATATTTCTGCGCTTGCATTTTTATTTTAGAATCAACAATAGTTATATTTATGTACTATCAAAGACTATACAATACCAAGTTGTTGCATGAGCGACCAAAAAGCTGTTCTATGGCGGGTCCTAACATTAGAACCCAAAAGGCTCGAGGGAGCGCGCGGGGTTTCAATTCCCTTTTCGCATGTACTTCGTCTCTACCGCGACCCCGCTGCCCATCGGTTTCGTCTGTTCGGCAATTCTGGACTCTCGACCCTCAGCACCGTCGAAGCGGTGGTCGCGGATCGCCGATGTCTTTGGAGCGGCACAGTGGGACCTTTGGCCGTCTCAGCTTGCTAAATTAGTTAGTGAATATGAGCAAAGACTATACAATACGACAAAGAGTGCGTGCGAGAGAGACAGAAAATCAGTCTGAGCGTGACGTCGGGCGCTGCGTAGCCACTGCAAATTGATTTGTTCCTTTTGGCTATAAAAATGATCAGATCTGATCCGGATTCAGCAATCTGATAGATATGGTCGTTATCTATGATTCTGCGTTTTTAGTTTTCTCGAATCTGCAATATTGTGGATGCAACAGATTTTCGTCCTTTGTGGGGCGGAAGGGGGTGGGGCGAAATTTTGAGATAGATGTGTGTACCTATTATTATGATCAAGTGTGTACATACATAGCAACATGGAATTTACATTGTTATTCTGCTATGATCGATGGACCAATCGCCAGACGGTATCTTTGACCAACTATAACTTTCGACAGTTGACAGTGTCGATCATAATCATCCGCTAACGCAATTGCCCGATGATTGTCCAAGCTGGAAACTATCTGTGGCTGAGGCTCTAATTCAATCACAACACAACACCCACCCCCTCTCCAATTGTGATGATCACTTCACTAGTTTCTGTGCTGTTGCTGCTTCAGCTTCTCTTTTACTTCAATCAATGCTGGGACTCTGGCGAATGCTGTTAATTGAATTTGGAGGTCGGTACTGTCGTCCATCACATAGGAAATACTGTACTTTTGTGACTGTGACTGGTATTGGGTCTCTCTGGTAGCCCGAACATGAGCAATTATGCTTTGTTATTTGTTTATGGCCATTTCCATTTGTTTAAAGAACTTAATTTACAAAAGGAAATGTAGTCAACAGCTCGTCGCCAGCTGCGTCGTCGTCGTCGGTTGGCTCTCCATCTCCGTCTCTGCATCTCAAGTGTATAGTAGACTGTTTAAATATTTGCGCACGAGTCGAGAAATTCGAATACGCATACTCGAAGCACTATCTCTCAAGTTACACAAAAGTCAGTATGGCAATAGCCTTGGACTTGCCCAATCGCCCCTTAATCATTCACTGACCATTGAACAGATTGATCCGTGTACTTTGAATGGCACTTTCTGAATGGCACTTCTTGCATTTATTGGATTCCATTTATATGATCAGTTAAGGCTGATGGTATAGTAAATTGGATTATGGGGACCGACTCAGCTGCTGAAGGCATTGACTATCGGATGACGCCGTGTAGGTGGCGACGCGAATTTTTCTCTCTGTGTATCTACGAATAACTGCAACTGTTTCCACCTCTGAAAATAAAATCATCATCAGGCTTTCTTTTGTCTCTGACACATTTTAAAAGTGAATGATAATGTGGAATAGTCATCATCTGCACTCATTCAATTGTTGACACCTTAAATGGATGGTTAACCTAACTAAAGTTGAACCAACGATAGTTTAGTCGCGAGCTGTCGCAGATCTTTCAGCATGCAAAGGCCCCACCCCACCGCTGCGGCTCAAGAGCTCCGGATGTACCGCAGACGCAGTGGAGAGGCAACCCTTTAGGGTGAATTTCCATATGCATCAAGTGGTTTTCATTGTGCGGACCATCGCTTAGGAAATTAAATTAAAGCAAAAATTGCATTTCCTGTCAAGTACAGTCGCTGTCTCCCCCCCCCCCACCAACAATCCGCCCGCCACTGCCGTTACTCAATTAGACGGAAATAATGAACAAATTAACACATTTCATGGATTTATTAACACACAAAACGATCCATGGCTTGGACTCTTTGAGCCTCCAATCGAATCGTAATCGTCGCAATGAAACGACTTGATTGCTGTGCAAATCATTCGTGGGTTTTTCACAACCTGAACCTGAATCATCATCAGTGTTATCATCAGTCCCGATAAGAATGTTTAGGATAAGAAATGTAGCAATAGCTCCTCTTCTACACAGCAAGCTTTCCTTTCAGGTTTGGTGGGTTCTGTAGAAAGCTCTTTTTGCTTTCTACCTCATGAAATATATTCATGATTCTAGCTTTTGTAGTTTTTCGTGGTTTTGGCACAAAATTCAGCTGAACTTTTCGTAACATTGACTCTGGGCGTTACTGTGTATATATTTACATACACACATATGTACATATATTCGAAATCGTTTTTTTTCGTAATAGCAAAACACAGAACTAAAAACAGATTTTTATTTCGCGCTGACTTTTCTTCGTCGTCATTTAACCTTGAAATATCGAAATATCGTTTGGCGATGATGACGCGAACGATGACGGGCAGGGCGCATAATGGATATGGATATATGGCAAGGTGTCGTCTGCCAATTTGTATCGGAGGGGGCGTAAGCAAATACACAAACACACACACAGACTTGTGCGTTGCTAATTTACATGATTTGCTCGTCTCCTCTCCTCTCCCATCAGGCGAATGGCAAAGACAGCATACAAATTTCGTATTTTCCTTCTTTTGGCATACCCTTCCTTGCGGAGGATGTATGTATTTTAACGGAGATCGAGTCCATGCCCCTAAAAGTGCAGTTAACGCCTGTCTTTGTTAGCACTGCAGCCTCTTAAACCGGGTGACTATATCTATGATTTAAATCGTATGACTATAGCATACAAATATCATGGACATACATACATATGTACATACATGAGAAAGACTATCGAAACGCAAGGGTATTAAAAGCTCGACCCGCATCGTTTTGGTTTTGGCTTGGATTGTTTGTTTTGGTTTGATGCGTGGGCTGTGCTGTTGTTGCCTTACGCAATGCCCAGAAGGAAAAGGAATCCAGAGAGGAGGAGAGCAGAGCGACCGATGGAGTGGGAGACATATCTGCATATACTTTGCGTCTGCCTCAGCCTCAGCCTCCGACTTCTATCCGCTCTGTTTGAATTCTTTTCTCTCTGCATTTTTTGCCTGCAACTCTGATGCTGCCCTCTCTGGCTGTTTTTATCGTTTTGAACTTTATTATGGACGCGCCTTGCGGCTGGCTCCAAAATGCCACATGCACACGCACACACACTCACAAGACACAAGCCCTGGGGTTAATATTTGATGTAAAGAACCAAAAAGCAACAACAAAATATAGTTAATTTTTACTTTAAATAAAGCTAAGGCAAATATTCGCATTAGCAATGAAATCAGCGCACAAAATTAATATATTAAAACACACGCGATGCTGCCACTCGACGCGAAGCGGCAAAAAACCGCAACAACAACAGCAACGGCGGTCAGTTCGACGGTCGGTCCGTCCGGCTAGCTCTCGCTCTCTAGCTGTTGTTTTTCTTTTTGTTGTTGGCCCAACCGGCGTAAGCGCGTGCAAATGACAAACTGAGCGCCAAAGCGCGATGTCCACGAACCACCAGCCGCCAGCCGCTCAGCCCCCATTGACAGCGCGGCGAGCAGAGCACAGCGTTCGGCCGCCAGAAGGAAAAGCGAGCAGAGCGCGGGGCAGTGCTGTTCACTTGGCCTCCTAGTGTGTTCTTTTGCTTCTTTCATTAAATCTCTAGCTATAAAATCAATTCTATTTGACATAAATACTTAATTTGCAACGGCTTAGTGCTACGTGTTTTTTGTGTAATGTCTAGATAATGTTTACCGCATGATCGAATTTGTTGAGTAGTTAATTTCTGGTTTGGCTTTTTCTTGCTGATCGCAAAACTAGCTTGCTTCTGGCTGAAGTTCCACCACTTGTAGCTGGTCTCTCACTCCTCTCAAAGCTCTCTCTCTCTTGTTGTGTGTACGAGCGCCAGTTTGGCTGTGACGACGACGTCGGCACCGTTTCTAAGCGCGCTCAAAAGAACCAAACCAACAGCAACAAAAAACAGAAAGAATTTTTCGCGTTTATTTGCTTTGCTTGCCTTTTGTACATATGGATGCGGGAAAGGGGAGGCTCAAGTTTAAGGTACATTACATATAAGGTCAGGCATAAGGTTTGAGTTTTCTGCAGCTTTCGCGCATACACATGTATATCCCATAAGAAACTGTAGCAGAGACCTTACCTCTTATTTAATAGACCTTGTTCGGGTTGAAGTCGCTGTGATGGTTGGTGGTCTATGCCACAGAGATGCTGATGCTGCTACTGCTTCTTCCTTTGATTGCTTGCGCAGCGCTTAATTGAACGGCCACCGCCTGACATGATGCAGCGCTTGACACTTGCTCCGCCACACAAGCCCCCGCAAATGCGGAGTGGAGAGAGGTATGCCGGCGGTAGAGAGACAAAAACGACACAAATCAAATCAAAGGCAAACATCAAGCACTTAGTAGAGAGCTTGTTAAGAGCTGCCCGCTACCCGCTCGAAACTCAAACTCAAACTCAAGTAGAACCTTAAGTACATCCATCCATGTGCGTGTGTGTGTTTTGGAGGGAGGATACTCTTCATCTCACTCAGATGTATGCCTAATGTCGAGTCATCGTAGCTAGCTGATACGAATATACGATATAGAAACGACTCATTTCTTATCGCTGAAAATAATTGAGTGACAAATTGAGCATTTTGGTGTTTCTATGAAATGGCTGAGATAAGCGCAGGCAGAGGATAAGCCAGAGAGAGGCGACAGACCAGAGAGATAGCGAGAGCGTGGGAGTGATAAGTGCATGTGCGTGGTAAATGCAATGCCCAAGGTGTATTTATATATGAGGTGAGGTAAGGTGTATTGTAATCTTTTTTCAGTTATTTAAGCTTTGAGCTTTGTCATCGGCAATATGTAAGTATGTATGTAAATCCAAGCCTGGACTTGGCTGAATAGACATGCCTCCTATTGATCACCGCCCATTGCCATCTCTGGCGTGCATGCACAGACATGTACACGATCCACAGACGAGGAGACACAACTGATCAATCTGCTGACTCGACTGCCTGCCCATATATGCACATTAATTACTCAAAAAGGCTTTTAGAACGGATTTGCATAGCACCAGCCGGCAGCAGCGTTCACAGTATTTTCGCTTGCAAATCAAGTTCTACAACATTTCAAAATGTAATTTCAGCAAACTTGCCTTTTGGTTTTAACCTATTACCTCGTTGCCGGCCATAACAATCGACCCAAACAACTGTGGGTGATTAATATTTTGTGTCTCCGTACCAGAACAGAGATATCGCAGCACCTGCAGGGTAAGAAAAGTGTCAAACACAGTAGTGGTAGTAGGCAGTACACTACGTTTATTGAGGACCCTCTTTTACTTTCATCACTTTCACTTGTATAATATGTAGATTGTTCACTTAATGTTTACTTTTTCCTTCAAATATCACATTTCATGCTTTTTATTTTCTTTTTTTGTGCGTGGCAGGGCTGTGTTTGGGGGCGTGGCATGTCTTTCAGGCATCCGCGTAGTCGATCACATCGCCAATCTGAACCGTCTCATCGCTGCCCCCCGAATGATCCGAGCCGGAGTCCATATGTTCCATGGCCGCCAGACTGGCGGCACCATCCAGGCACTCAAAGCTCCTCACCCTACCCCTACACCCTGGCCCCTGCCCCATCCTCTGACTGTATGGCGGGGGCTGGGCCTGAGGCTGGGCCTGAGGCTGTGGCTGTAGCTGTGGCTGTGGCTGGGCCTGTGTTTGGGGCTGAGATGGGGGATGGTGAAATTGTCTTTGGTAGCGTGCTGAGGTCAGCTGATTTGGATGGAATTGCGGCATCGCCTCGAGATCCTGTCGCAGATCCCGCACATGCCGCTGTGGTGTGATATCTGCTCTTTCACCGCCTCCTGTTAGTGGCCCACTGTTGGGCGTGGCACTGGCTGTGGAACGCCATACGGGTGTGGCATAGCTAACATGCTGCTGCGACGGTGGAGCGGGCAGCTGTGTCTGGCCTCTTGTGGACGGCAATTGGGTGCCCAGGTGTCGCATGGGCAGGGCATACTGATAGGCCGGGGGTATATCGTTATTCTCATCTGCAAGGAGAATACAGAGACAATCGATTAAATGGCGATGAAAATATACAGAAGATACACCCATCTGAAGATATATAGTCACAGATAGAGATTGCCAGAGATAGAAACATTGACAGAGACGTGGGGTAGGGTAGTAATATTTACGAGTAGATTACGAATAGGAAAAGAGAGAACCATTTGTTTTGTATTAGTACCTTGGGTTAATGCGCTCCATACGTGTGTGTGTAGATTGCCTTTTCTTTGTGTGTGTGTGTGTGTGTGTGTGTGTGTAGGTGTGTGTAGGTGTGTGTATTTAAATGTGTCTTGCTTTGGGCGCGGATAAATATGTACATGCATAAATACATAAAATATTTATACATCTTTGTTTGCTTAAAATAAAGTGCAGGGATGGTATTTGTGGATCATCCTGTGCTTCTTTGTGGGGTGCATGTGGATCCTATGTTATTATATGTCCATCAGCTGTTCCTACTGTTCCCGCCACTTCCTGTGGGTGTCTCCTATAGGTTTCTTCCAAACGGTTCTTCCTCTGCTTGTAAGGTCTATCTATTTTTCCGACTAACGTTTTTAAAGCTATTTTTTGATTAAACACGTGCCATCAACCTTAATACATACTCAATCTATCGATATCTATTGGTTATCCATATTATATACAGTATAAATATATTGGTATTTGCGATTAGGGGATTACATGAATACAGGTACTACGGGACTACCAAGATTACAGGTTTACAGTCGTTTGGAATTCGTTGAGATGCTGGTGGTTTTGTGGACGGGTGCTAGTACTAGTGCGAGGGGGTTGTGGTTCGAGTGGGCGGGGCCGGCCACTGCTGTTACTGTTACGGTTGTAGTCGTACGAGGGCAGTACGCTGTAACTATAACCGTACTTACTGGATGCCGATGGGGCAGTGGAATTGATGGGTTCCGAGTAGACGGGAGTCTCGGTCATCGGGTCCGAGGGCGACGAATATTCGCTTGTTAGCAGCGGCTCACACAGCGGCTGTTGCGGCTCTTCATAGATGGGTTCCTCGTAATTGGGGGCACTGGGTGCCGCCGACGCAGTCGGCCTGTCGTGGGGCATTGCCGATGTGGCATAGTAGTCCTCTCCCGGGGCCGTTGGACTGGTGCGGCTGCTGTTGCTGTTGCTGTTGCTGTGGCTGTTGCTGCCGCTGGTGTCGTGGCAGTCCAACAGATGCTGGGTGAGCAGTTCCTTGATAGTGGAGGACCCATTGGGCATCTCCTTGATGGTATCGATCACCTGGTTCTTGCACTCGACGCGAGTCAACTTTCCGCTTGCCAGCTTCCGGATGCTCTTCCCAGTCCTGTCGCCGTCACGCAGTGACTCTGTCTGCTTGAGCATGGTGCGCTGCTCATCATGTGTGAAGCTGCACAGGTCCACATTCCCAGAGCCCGAGGTCGAGCTGTTGCCGCTCTTTCCCTTCGTCCAACAGCCCATAAGCCCTGCTATCACCACCACAAAGACAAGGATTACCACTATCCCACTAGCTATCTGGCGGATGGTAAGGCTACCGCCACCGCCATCGCTGGCGGTTCGTGTCGACCACTGGCCATTGGTGCAATGGCGCGTCAAATTATTGGCGCGTCCGCTACCGCTGCACGCTTCGTGTACGAAATGCCGCCTGTTGACACTGCTGGCATTGAAACATCCCCGATCGCTGGCGATCAGGGGACAAATTATCTCCGAGTCGAGATCGTGATCGGTGAGCCGGTGCATCCATTCGTTGTCGCAGCTACAGTCATGCCCCACCGTGATGCGATGAACCTCGCAGTTGCTGAAATTCAGGCTACTCTGCTCCGGATCCTCCAGTCGATTGTTGGCAAAGGTGCAGTTGAAGGGCTTCGACAGCTTGGCCAGCTCCAAGCCGAACTGATTGAAATGCCCAAAGCTGTTGTTCTCGATGACAATATGCTCGCCGTCCTTTACGCGCAGCCAATTGTGCTCCGTGTGCTGTACGGTGTTGTCCTGAATGAAAACGAACACGCTATAGATTTGCATGGCATTTGATTTGATTTTCATGATGCTGGAAACACACAGAGAGAGAGAGAGAGAATATCGGATAGAGAGATTCGGATAGATCTATGGAGGGTGATCCCCACTCACGTGTTGTTCTTGAGCGTCAGTCGGGAGATGCCGCAGTCAATGATTGCCTCGCTGTCAATCATTCCGATGGTCGTGCCCTTGAAGGACACGTGATCGCTTAGGAGCTTACTGGTGAGGGCCCGCGCCTCGATCGTTCCAATGTGGCAGTCCTCGAACGACAGCTCTTTGATTTCGGTCACATCGAATGCGTTCGTCTGGATCCTGCCGATCCTGGCCCTCACAAAGCTCACCTTTCGCATCGAGACATCAAAGCTGCCAATCTGTTCGATTCCTGTGTCTTCGATGCGTAGCTAAAGAACAAGAGCGAAGGAGGATTACATGAGATGCGTAGCAGATGGATTGATGGATTAGTTTTCACTTACATTCACCAAAGACTTGGCACTGCTGTTCGTGTTGGGATAGAAGGTCTTCTCCTTCATCTCGAGATTCTCCACTTGCCGAAAGGTACAGGAAATGTTCATGTTCTGAAAGGCACGTGGAAATACCACCACATCCTGGCTGTTCTCCACCCGCAGCACAAACTCCCCGCCTGTTCAGAGGAAAAGGATACGATTGCTTTAGACTCTAGGTCGCTCTTTCTTCTTCAAAAACTCACCTGAGAAGGCTCCCTCGCGTATAAACACCCGTTGGACTTTGCGCACTTGTATGTCCGGATATCCACCAAGATTGTTCTGAAATGCGTTCTTTGTGAACTCCACCTGATCGCTCTCCGTGCTCCCCAGGCCCTCGATGCCGAAGAAATTTACGCGATTCCTGCGAAAGAACTCGCTGTGCAGCTCAAATTGTGTCCCACCGGCCAGGCGTATTCTCATGGCAGTTATGGCCACTGGGACAAAATACTTGGAATCCCATTTTGCGGAGAGCTGTCCAGAAGAGAACAGAGAATCAAATGAGTATTTTGTGAATATTCAAAAGGGCGAAATGAAAACAGAGTCCACAAACATCAGAGCAGCGGTGGCCACTTCAAATAAGTCCGGTATGTTAGATTTGTGGTGAAAGTGGATGTGGATGTGTCGAACCCCATAAAGTGTACATATATATTTTTGATCAGCATCAACAGCCGAGGCGATTGAGCCATAGCTGTCGCTCTGTCTGTCCGTCTTGTGTGACGCCTAGTTCTCAGAGAATATAAAAGTTAAAGCAAGCGAAATTCTGTATCCAAAAGATGAAAATCTGAAAAAACGCAGAACCGTAGAGAATGACCAATTCTAGCAGATTACCGAATCTGGATCAGATCAGATTATTATTATAGCCAGAAGGAACAAATTAATTTTTAGTGGCTACGCAACGCCATCCACGCGCTTACTCATTCGCTCTCTCTCTCTCTCTCTCTCTCTATCTGTGTCTCACACACTCTTTCTCGAACAGTGTGCGCCCTCAGGCGGAGTCGCGGCCGTAGCTGCGTCTCAACGTCTCCCCTCGTTCTGCATCTTTCAGATCGAATAAAAAGTAAACTAAGTAATATTCGATTCCCTTTTTGGTATCTTTTATTAGGCTTACTCATTGTCATGCCTCTTGCATGGACTGTTCTAACCTAATCTAATCTAATAGATATTTCAAACTACATACATATGTATACATAAAATAATATTCATATTATATAAAATAAAATTCAATTATAAAATATCTTATGTACATAAATATTAAAGTTTATTACATTCGTATATTGCATGAGGGTTTTCAAAATTACTGTTGTCTTAATGTTGTCTTTATAATTGAATTAGAAAATTTATGGGAACTGTCCATGAGAGTATTCAAGGTGCGACGAGGCATCTAAATTTTTGCTTTGCAGATAAAAAGAAGTCATTGGGTGCAAAGTCAGGACTGTAGGGAGGATGAGTGCTAACCTTCACGGAATTCGTCAGCGACTGAATTACGACCACTATTAAACTCTGCAAACCAGCGATAAACTGTCGTTTTTGATTGTGCTTTCTCGGCATATAAAGAACTAAGTTCATCAACACATTCTTGTTGGGATAATCCACGTCGAAAGTTGTGAAAAATAATCCCACGAAAACCCTCTCGAGAAATTTCTATTTTTTTGCCAAATTGATTTTTTTAACTGATCGTGAACAAAACAAAAACCAATTGTACATAAAAACGTTGTACGTACATACATATATGCTAAAAAATGACAAAGTTTATTACGGCGTTGCCAGATTTCACGTATTGGCTTTAGTATTGCCCATTCTCGAAATATAAATAGCAACCCTCGTATGAACTTTGAGATTTTCTTTGTATCTGTTCGAAATGTAATTGTAAATGTTGTCACTTCAGTTGTTCTCAGTCCCAAAATGGGGCGGCATTATTTTTCAGAGGGAAAAAATGGTCGTTATTTAGCCTTTTGAGAGTATGGCCAAAAACTAAGGCAAGGCATTATAGATGATACAAAATGTGTGTCTGTTTTACCGACATCTGAATTTGTTGGTCTCGTTGTAAGTTTCGGTGAAAATTTTCAAATGGGGAAATTTGTAAATGGAGTCCACAGACATCAAAGTATTGTTGCACCATCCATCCGGCGATGTGTGTTTGTGTGTGTGTGTGTGTGTGTGTATATGGTGCTTTGTTGTCGCTATGACTTGACGCTTGACTTACATTTCTTTGCGGTCCCCATCGCATCCCATCCCCTTCCAGTCCCCATTCCATGTCTGTGTCTCGTCTCCCTATTGTGCGAGTACTTGTATTATTTTTAAACGCAGTGTCTGCGACAAAAACAACAACAACAACAACAACAACAGCAACAACGAAAGCAACCATCCATCCAATCCACAACTTGACCGCAACGCAACAACGTTCATTGCTCCAAAGCGACCGACAGACGGACAGAGCGACAGTCCGTCTGTGGCAGAATCCCAACTCAAACGCAAAATGGGAGTGGAGTCTTCTCTTGGTTCTTGTTATTGGTGACTTGGTGCTTGTTGCAATCTTGTCATTAAATTAAGTGAAAAATAGTTTCAACTTCTCAAGTGCTGAGGCCCGGGACGAGCCCCTGGGGGTGACGATTGGGTCGTCTGCTAATGATCTTGATGATCTCTTGTTGATCTGCTCAAGATCTATCTTCCTTATTATTATTAACATTAATGAAACGGAATTGACAACGGAATAGGTATTACTTGCATTGATTTCCCTGATGGAGGATCCTTCTTTCTAATCGTGTTGGCTGCGAAATCGCAGATGATTCACCGATTCCAGCGATGAATCGGAACTTATTTCAAGCCATTCCATTCCATCTTTCACTGATTACACTGATTCTGTTTATCCTGAGCGACTCAATGCATAACTCTATATTCTTTGTGACTGTACACATCATATCGATATATTTCTTCACAGTTAGCCCATGAATATCCAAGCCCTCAATTGGGAATCAGTTAAAGGACACGTCCTTGCTCCCATCACTCCTAATGCTTCGAGATTTATTCCTCGATAAGCGACACCGGACCAGACGCACAAGCAAAACGTGCAAAAGAGAGTGTCCGAGAATATTTAGAAGAAACTAAGCTACATGTCGTGTGCACGACGCGGTATATACGGTAGTTATTACGAATCGGGTTTCGTTGCCGCTATTATGGCTCATCGATATCTTTGGATTCAATTTCCGTTTCGTACGTGCCCTCCTTTGTCTCTGAAGCTGTCTCTCTTTCTCTTATTGTCACTGTCGTGTGCTGTCGTATTGCCATAATGTTAGGCAAATGTTTCGGGGGTATCCCATTGTTTATGCCACCTGCTGGACATGATGATGATGGTGTTGTGTGGATTGTGGTGCGTCTCGTGTGAGTTCAATGGCTGGCTGCAGCTGCAGCTGCAGATTCTTCCATGTCGATAAGAGTATATCCCCCCTATATATGGGATTTGGATCGCACTCGTTGTCGTTGTATTTTCTGCCTCTTTGCAGTGATTGCTTTCGCTGTGTGTGTGTGTGTGTGTGTGTTTTCTTTTGCTTATTTATTTATTATTCTTATGCTTCATCTCGAAGATTGTTCATTGCAAACAGCAACAGCAACAGCATCCCCATCCCCATCCACGCTTAGCGTTTTCTCGCTCTGGTGGCTTCCGATGGGTTGCATGTCTTTTCAATTGCTCCAGTTTCTCGCTCTTTCTTTTTGTCTTTCTTTCCGCCTCTCTCTCTCTCTCTCTCTCTCTCTATCTGAAGAGGAAGTCTCAATTACGTGTAAGTTTCAATTTGTCCGCTTGCTTGTTATTCCCTCCCACCCTCTTCCTCCCTAAATCTTCGCTGTATCCGTATCTGTATCTATATCTATATCTACATATATGTATATCTGTATCTTTATCCCCCAATTCCTCATTTCTCACCCCATTTCGGATTCAAGTTTATGTGTGGAAATGTGTGGAAAAAAACAAACAGAAAAGAAAAGAAAGGAAAAGAACTTGGCCCAAAAGTTTATGAAGTTCGGATATGTAGCGTTAGATATATGTGCATACTATATATAGATACATATATTCATATACACGTATCTACAATTGAGGTCAAAATAAATCAGGTTTTTTTTTTGCAACAGTCCTTCGGTGGCGTGGCTTATCATGGGGCGTGGCACCTCAGTGAGAAAAGGCACAGCAAACACACCCAAAAAAGGACCACAAGGAATACAAGTGAAAATATATACACCAACAACTAAAACCCACAATCAGCGCAATTATTGGCCAAAATATCAGTAGGGAAAGAAGGGAATAAAAAAAGTCAATGGGTATAAATTTTGGAATACAAGTGAAAATATAAACACCAACAACATCATCATCATCATCAACAACATCATATAAACATCATCAAATCAGAGCAATTATTGGCCAAAATATCAGTAGATCGATCGGAAGGCAAACCGTTAAAAGAAGGCTAGAAAAAAAGTACAGTTTTTTTTGGGAAAACTCTTCTAAAAGCTAAAAAACCTTAAGGGTTTCCATTAAAAAAAAAAACACATGCATTTCAAACATGGATAAGTTGTAGAAATGTGTTGGAAAATGGGCCTGATCTTCCACAGCTGCCCCCCTTAAAAGCTGTTTGGAAAACGCCAAACATACAGAGCTATGCTAAGTCCTCTTAACTCCTGTCCCTATCCCGGTCTTGGTGGCGCTCCTCAGAAATGCTCAGCCTTTGCCCTTGGGAAGGGAGATGTGGGAGAACACGTTTTTCAAAAGGGCGGTCCTTGATGTGCACAACCTCGAAGGATCCGGGATAACAACGGTGCCCACACGTGCCTACAAATTCCTGCCTCCGGTGATCATTCACCGAATCGAACGTGATGTCGGTGTCGGTCAACCTGTTCGGTGTCGTAGGCATGGAAGACAGGATCGGGGTAGGATGGTGCGAACACCCTCGCCCCCACTGATTCTTCTTGATCTTGCACAGCTTGTACTTGACCTCCACGGCGGCTATGATGTGAATGGAGAAAAGTCCCTTCACGTCGTACACCAGAAGGAAGTGCTTAGCGGTCTGCTCGAGAGTCATGACATCCAAGAAGCCAGCTGGTTAGGTGCGATCGGTGCGAACCTTTCCGTCAACCTTGGCTAGACGCTGCATGACAGTCTTGGTAGCCGCAGCACCGTCTAGGGTGTACTTGACACGATTTCTCTCCCCCAAGTTTGTCCAACATCCATGCCTTGGGTGCGCCTAAATGCTTCATATTCTTCTTAGGGTCATGTGCTATCTTTACAGTAAGTCCGTCTTGCAATACAACAGGAAAGGGATCGATTTAGGACCGATAACTGTGGCCTAGATGGGAGCTATAACCTATTGGAGCTATGCTATTATTTTCCTTATTGCTTTTTTTGTGACTAATATTCACAATACTTGAGCATTATAATATCTCGTATAGAAACAAACAAAAATATATGTACATATGCTCTTATCTGGAGAGCAAAGTGTCTTTTGGTAACTAAAATATTGCCCGCCGCTGTATCCATACTCTCTCTCTCTCTCTCTCTCTCTCTCTCTAGTATGAGAATGTGCATTGGTTTCCAGGCCCTATTTATAGACCAAAACGGAGAAACGGAACCGATCTGGCCTGGCGCTTTTCTCTAAAAGATCATTTACCCATACGCTCCCTCTCATTCCACTATTCTTTACATATTTTTCCGGGCATTTTTGTCGTCGAGACAACTTTTACATGATATTTTTAACCATCGAATGGGATTTTGGTATGGCTGCTCGATGGTGTACAGGGGTACAGGGGCACAGGGGTAGTGGTAGGTGGCAGGAGTAGGCTGAGTGGAGTGGAGGCCTTTTGGGGCGGAAATAGCTGCCACCGCGAGAGACTCCGACTCCATCGCTGTCTGGAAAGTGCCAAAAGCTACAAAATACAGCAGCAGCAGCAGCAGCAGCACATAAATAAATAAGAAACAAAAGCCAATTAAAAATAAATTATGATGTGCCTGCTATCCGCTTGCCCCTGCCCCTGCCCTTGCTCACTCTCTCTCTCTTTCTCTCTCTTCCTCCATGGATTTCCCTTAGAAAAAATCACATGGCCACAATGTCTCTGTGGGTCAGCAATCGGTGGGCCACATGGTTTTTCAGGACGTCTGAACGTGTCCCTGGAAAAAGGACTTTCCCCGTTGTGGAAGAAGAGCCCTCCTTTGCAGGCACACACACACACACACACACACACACACACACACAAATATACATACATGAAAATGCACCCATCTGGTATAATCTAGTATCTGGCATATCTGGTAACCACACAGCACGCACGTCCGAGAACCAGACAGTACGTGACTTTTTCTTGGACCCCTCTCGGAGCAGTAGTCTTTCTCCTTCACCTTCTCCTTCTCGTTCTTAGCCTCCTCCACCTCACACACATATCATCTGATGATTCGAGGAGGTGTCGGTGCCAGTGTCGGTTGTTTTGCACTTCTTTTTCTGATAAAAAACCACACATTTTGAAGCAACTGGTTGGGCAATACTTCTAGAAGCTTCTTCGGAACTTCAGAGATTTCAACTTCCAACTGACTGAAAACGTGCACGTGCAGTACTCGATAAGGTTTCAATTCCAGTGCAGAGCTCATTGGTAGTATACCATACTATTTCCAATGGCAATGATTATACCTAAATAATGGCTATATTTTGTATCTTTTGATGGGTGGTTCTGTGCCACTTATTGGCCCAAAAAAATTATTCATTCGAGTGACACTTCCTGCGGTGTGCCTGCATTGCCTGCCTCCTCCTCTTCCGCCTCTTCGTACTGCCTCGTGTCATTCCGTCTGAATTTTCTTCTGTTGCTGTTGCTGTCTCTGTTTATTGTTAGATGAGAGAGCATTCAATTTGTGGCACTTGATGGATTTTTAGCAGCTTCCACAGCCCATAAATGTGCGAGTGAGTGTGTGCTCGTTCTGTCTGTCTGATTGTGTGTGTTTGTTCTTCAGAGTACTATTTAAGTAGACATTCGAAATGGACCTTTAAGTAGGCGGCGGCGCGGCATTTCACTAAAACACACCGCAACGCACACACACACATACATACATATGTGTCATTCCCCTCCCTCCACCGTCCTTCCTCCGTCCTCTACCTTCTATGCACCCCCTCCTGCATTCATTATTTTGAGTGCATTTTGGAGTTTAGGGATTAACCACTGGTTAACTTCTGTGGTCGAAAATGATTCATTGTAAGTCCCCAAGCAGCTAACACACCATTCCAATTTTTGTAAAGAATTTCCAGTCTCCAATTAGATTAGAATTATCTGCTAAGACATATGTACATATGTAACATTTCTTGTAGTATTTAATTTGATAAATTATTGTGAAATCCATAAATGGAGAACGGGTGTTATGGCATGCACCCGTCGCCCAAATGCAATCCACAAATTCTGATGTGGATGATCATATCGGAATAACGAGTATTTCTGTGTCCGCAAGACGACGACCCACACACAAGTGATAAGCTTTCATTGTGTGTTTGTGTGGGTTGGGAATAGGGCGACGGATGGATGGTGGCATCTTAGTTCCAGAGAAAATGTCGAAAGCAATAGAGATATAATATATGTACATATGTACAAGAGTAGTACATAAATAGGAATACTCCGTATACTAGAGGAGAATAACTCCGTTCTGCCATAAATCCATTTTTTCAATCACTTGCACTTGTCTCTCTCTCTCTCTCTCTCTCTCTCTCTTTCTATCTCTATCTCTCTCTTACTCCCGTACAGACGAGACGAGACGCACACGTTCTCGTTCTTGCTCTCTTTGTGAACCGTAATTAATTAGCATAACCTGTTCAACTGGTTGAAGCGGGAAGGCACAGAGAGCGACCGACCGCCTTCTTTCGGTTCTTTCATTCATTTCTCTTACATTCCGTTTTGGAGCTTTTGTTTACATTCCCCGATCCGGGGAAGTGGTGGGGAGGGGTTATGCGACCTGTTAAGGCCATTCCACATGTTTACTAAGCAAAAATGTTGTTTAAATTCGATTTGGCAGAAGAAAAATCAAGCACATCCGTAACTTTCGTTCCGAGAACCAAACTAAAATTATAATTTCTAACAAAAAAAAAAAGATTCCCTACAAGGCCATACATATTTAAATGTTTGCATGAAAAGCCACAAAAGTATGACTATTCGAAAAGAAAACATCTCTCAGTCCATCGCTGGCGCTTTTCGCAGTCAACGTCACTGCCTTTGCTTTTCTTTTGACTCTTTTTGCCCGGCGTGTTCGTTGTTTGCTTTGTACTTGCTCTTCTAAATAAAGCCAGCAACTTCAAGAGCGCTCAACACATGTGTGGATTGTATGATGGCATGCAGGTTTCGTTTATAGCAAAAAGCTGCAAATTAGTCGGCAGCCCCCACCTAGATACATATGTAAGTACCTGTTACTCACCGTTTGATTCCGCTGAAAATCGCATGTAACTGTGTTCCTTTGGCAGAAACAGTGATTGCATATATCCTCGCCCAGCGTCTCGGCGATCAGGCTAGCGGGAGCGGCACTCCTCCAGGCGGGGCCGGGACCGGAGTAGGCGGAAATTGGCATTCGGCCGTACAGTGGTCGACCCCTGGCTTCAACATCAGACACGACCAGCGAGAGAGAGCCAAGAATCAGCCAGAGCATAGTCGATTTTTCAGACATCGTTACCCGCGTTTGTTTTTCTTTCTTCTTAGAAGACAATTTTTGTTGTTTTTCGTTTAATACTTTCGTTTTTCTTAGGCAATTGAGAACGCTTTTTATTTATTTTTCTCTCCCTCTTGCTGTCAGTGCTCGGAAAACGGTTTTTTCTTGCAATCTAAGACACCGCACTAAAATACATATTAACGAGCCCAGCCGCTGTCATCCACAGAAATACATATTTGCACTCAGAATACACCGAAGAAGAAACAACAAAAAAAATTTAAAAAATATGTGAACTCGCGATCGTTGTTCAATGGGTAACTAAATTCGGCCGCTCTTCCGCACCGAGCAGTGCTGAATGATCACTGAATTCAGTCTATTCGCCTCCAAAGGCAGCCTCTGCTACTGTGGCAGAGAGTGTAGCAGAGCAGAGTGTAGCAGTGCTACAAGGTATATTAATTGGTGGTAAGGCACAACCGGCTGTGCTGCTCTTCCACAAATCACACCGCACCATTTGCTGCCATCGAACTTCCTGCTATACGTATGAAAAGTAATGGTTTTGTTTCAACGCCGAAAAGAATAAATAAATAAAATCATTAAGCATCTTTCTTCCATTTTTATATTGTTTCTTTCTCTCTCTCTTTGTGAGAACAGCGACCGGATGATCGTCTCTTCGCTGATTAAATTTATCAGCTGAACAGTGCTGCCAGATTTTTAGAGTCACCATGAACTAAATTGCAGGAAAAAAAGCTAGAAAAAGCTTAAAAAAAATAGCTTAAAAATAAGCTAACCATAAAAACACATCAGAATAATGTATACTTTAATTTTATTGAGATACTTTTTTAGAATTTTTAACTAAGTAATCATATAATTTGTTCCACTTCATAATGCTATGGCCGAGTGCATCTCTGCATCTCTACCCTTTCTAACAAAGGGTATTCATTTTTTGTATGTAATGTGCAAACATGTGCAATACTGTAGTCTGACTAAAATGTATCGACGTATAATTACCATACATTTATGCACAAAATTGGATGATATACCAAAATACCAACAAGAAATATGATTTTTGTCCGATTTCTCGCTGAAAATTAACAAATATTACAATTACAAAAATCAAAAAACCGAAATGGTTTTGTACTAAATTATTTTAAGCTAAATCAACTTTTAAATAAGCTAGAATTTCATGCTATAAGCACTTAAATTGGTTTTCAAGCTATTTGGTTTTAAAGTAAGCCAAATCTAGCTTAAAATAAGATAAAATGGCAACACTGCAGCTGAACAGTTCTTGCTTTTTATCCGACATTTCGTTCTGTAAGAAGAGGAAACAGCACCATCAGAGATTCAGAGTCAATACTTATTCCAAATCGTTGGCCACTTTGTGTATACAAATAATTGATATTCACTAAAGTAATTGCTATTTATAAGCAATTTAGCATTGAAATACATACATACACACGCACACATACATATAGAAGGTGACAGAGCTTTGGAACGATCCATAATGCAAGTGGGTGGGTGGGTTGTTGGTACATACATACATACATATATAGCTAAGGCGTTCAGAAAGTGACGAGCGTTGCGAAAGCTTTTGAGTCACAAATTAGTTCTTAAACGCCGAAAATGTTCAAAAATTGTAACGTTTTCAGGTTTTCTTGTTCATGGAGCTCATTTATTAGCATCAGTCCACATAAGCACTCGATGTTCCAATTCACTTAAATATTTTGTAATCGTTGTATAAACATTTTGATTGAACACGAATTTTAGAATAATATTTTTTGTATATAGGAAATGATTTCTTTGGCACACTGTTCCCCTGGCCCCTCTCCGACTCGCGCATATGTACATGGTGAAGCATTTCTGCCAGAGTCTGGCTAGGGTTAGAGCGAGAGGGAAGGCACATACATGCATACATACACATGTATGTATATTGTAATTGGTTTGCAAGTGGGAGAGAGAAAATTTAATTGCCGGGGGGTAATGGGTAATCCAAAAGGAGGAGAGAGAGAGAGAGAGAGAGAGAGAGCGCCAAGCTGAGTTTTAAGTTGCATTGAATGAAAATGCTTCCCCTCGCTCCCCTCCTCGCCGTTCCTTTGCAGGCAACAAATCAATTTGCGTTCAATTTGGATGCCAGCACGGACACACGACGCATGGAAGGGGTGTGGAGGCAAGCGGAAGTTGAGAGGGTGCCGGCCCGCAGGGAGACACATGCAGAGAGCCCAGGCCATAGATCGTAGCGAGGGATAGAGATGCGGGCACCTAAATGCAATGCTGTCTCTCTTACACTCAATTATTATATCATTGGATCGAACGGTGATTTGGTTCCTGTTGCTGTTGTTGTTGCTTCTGGCATCAATTGCTCCCATTAATCTAGCGACTCCCTTCTCATGGCTTGGGTACATACACACATACTCTTGTATCTGATCAGACGTGTACATATAGTACATAGTATATCGTACGAGTATAGCTGCCACAGTTAGTCTGTAAAATTTAAGAGAGCGATAAATGAATTGAATTGAAGTGAATGCACACTCTCTCATACACTCAGCTACGAGGCTCTCTTTCATCTGCGATGAAAATGAATGAAACACACACACACACACACACTTACTCTACTCGCCCTCCACATATTACTCCACTCTTCCCTCTGACAACTCTAGAGTGTGCGTGTGCGTGTGCGTGTGCCTGTGCGTTTGTGTGTGTGTGTGCTGGGGGCTTGGAGTTGCAGTGGAAACGTGTTTTCCCACAGGTAGGTTGCTTTCTGCTGTCCTTTGTTCTTGTTGTTGCTATTGTGTCTCCCCCCCTTTCCTCTTCCCCCTTTATCACTCTCTCTCTCGCTTTGGCCACTCAAGCGCAGGGTTGCCATGGCTCTGCCCATTCTGTTTGTACTTACCTCTGACATGTGTGTGCGAGTGGGGTGGGTGGTTTTGAGATGGCTGGGGGACACTGACATTATCATTTTCGTTGGAAAACTTTGCTCCCCCCATTCCCATTCCCATTCCCATTCCCACTCCGATTCCCATTTTCAATTCCATTTCATTTGTATTTATTTTCATTTTTGTATTGTTGTATTTGCTTTTATTGTAAGTTTATGTGTGAGTCTGTGTGTGTGTGTATGTGTATGTCCGCAGTTTTGTTTCTTTCTATTCCAACATAAGCCTCCTTCCCCATTCCCTTTTTTTGATTCCCTAAATGGTTTTCCAGTACCTTGCTGGGATGATTCGTACTGTACTAAATAGTAAATAACGTCTGATAAGACGTACCCCCAATATGGCGCAAGTTGTTAAAAGTTTTAGATAACCGAAACAGTACTACCAAATTTTAAAAACAAATCTAAAAGCAGTGCGGAGAAATTTGGGCTTATTACGGACAATAGGGCCAAGTTCAAGTCTTATCAAGACAATGATTCCCAAACTTAAAGAGTCCAATGTGAGAGATTGAGCGGGAACAAGATGGCAAATTCATTCATGTCAAAAGAGTGTGACCTACAAAAACTGTTCTGCTCGGTGATAAGACGGTTCAATAAAATAACGTCTTATCGTATCTTATACATATGTATCTGTAGTATTTTTCGTGAATTTTGCCCGTTGAATCTTGTCCGTCAATTCAGACACATGTCCGTGCCTCTTGCTTAAGCATTGTAAGACAATCACAAATGCATATGTAGACACAGACAGGCTTCGGGCATCGCACCACCCGCTGCGGCGAGCGATAGCCGAACGTGCGTTCGGCATGCTTCCCTTCCCACTCGCCCTCTGTCCCCTACGTGCTCCTCTCCTTCCGCTCTTCGGGTCTATCGAAGGGCCAGCAGGTCAGCAAGATGGGAATGGAAGGGAAGAGCAGGGTAGGGGAGGGCAGGGCAGGTAGCGGTGTTTTAGCTTTGATGCTGCGATTCTGATTGGACTGGAAATGGATCAGAGTCGGTCTGGGACTCTGAGAGAGTGTACCCACAAGGTGCCGATGGACTGCCACACCATGAGAGAGGATCAAAAGAGAGAGGGAGAGAGTGAGGGAATGCACTTTTCTGAATTATATTTTTCGGATAACGTAATGATTCAATGACTATACCCTGGTCACAGACCAAGACATTATACACATGTAAATCTTACCTATCTTTTTAGCCGAAGAAAAGCTATATGTATGTATGTACATATATGACGGTGATCGGCACGCACACATTCACATGTTTCTATAGTATCTACATTTATATGTATGTGCGTTATTTAAGCCCTATATATGACGAACCAAACGTTATAGAAACTTGGACGAGATAATACCATAACAAAACGAGGGGGAACGATGTGAGTTGCTGCGGACACCGCAACTCTACACTTATACCCGATACTAAGTCAGTATGACTCTCCAAATTTGTGTGTGTGTACCAAATTTGGTTACTAGCCTTAATAGTCTCTGAGATTTGTTGATGCCTCAGATTTTCGTCCTTTGCGGGTGCGGAAGGGGGTGTGGCGAAATTTTGACACAAAATGGTCAAGGTCCGATATCACAGGAGTGTGGATACCAAATTTGGTTGCTCTGGCTCTTATAGGTTCTGAGATCCTTGAACTCATATTTTGCAATTGGCAAAACCGACCATGAAACCTGTGTGTTAGAGAGAGACAGAGCGAGAAAGAGTGAAATTGTTTTCTTGATTCTGGGTATAATAATTATACGCTCTAGTTTAGATTTTGCACTCTAGAAGATATAGTCATCTTCTATGATTGTGCGTTTTTTGTTTTCTTGTATCGTCCTTTGTGGGGGCGGAAGTGGGCGGGGCAAAGTTTTGAAATATTTTTGTAGCAGTGACATATCACTTAAGTCTGGATCCAAAACATTGTTGCTCTAGCTCTTATAGTCTTTGAGCATTAGGCGCTGAAGGGGACGGACAGACGGACAGACAGACAAGGCTCAATCGACTCGGCTATTGATGCTGATCAAGAATATATATACTTTATGGGGTCGGAAACGATTCCTTCTGGACGTTACACACATCCACTTTTACCACAAATCTAATATACCCCAATACTCATTTTGAGTATCGGGTATAATGATAAGCGTGTAG